CTGTGACATAAAAACACAAAAACACATTTTTTAAAAATTCTTCCCAAAAATTAATTTCGGATACTATTTTGTGAGATGCAATCAAAACACGCCCTTTCTATTTGCCCTGCACTTCAAGGCTTCAACATTGGTCACTTTTGGTTAGGCCATTGAGTTCTCTTCCCCGTCAAATAGAAATCTGATTAGACATCTAAAAATCTGATATTCTCGCCAACGGAGATGGTCGATTTGTTTGCCGCGACAGTGGTGGTGCGAAATCACCGGTCCAAAATTAGCGACAAATGTGCGAAATCAACACCTACATCCTCTGGCATATGAAATCCATTGGTATGCATTTCAGCCACCGTCTTTATACATATGTTGCATGCCTCTTTTATGTTAGGATTGGTTTTGGGATTTGATTTAGGGTGGGTAATTTGTAGTTGGGCCAAAATTTTGGAACTCTATTTTTACTCATCTAGGACGCGAACGTTCTCCGTTTGGGGTCGGCCGGCCTAGATCGGGGGGATCGCCTGTGATCCTACCGACCCTAGTAAGTAGAAACCCTCAATATTTTGAAGAGAGATATGGTCCACTTCAATCTCCACATCTGATTGTATAATCAACAGCCCATTTGTATACCATACTCACTATCAGTTGCTAAATTTCCCAGATAGCATAAATCATCGTTGTTGAATCTTGGATGGTTGGTCATCATATACTGGCTTCCTGCCTCACACTTGTTCATTTGTTTCTTATACTGTATCTATGTAGTTTCTTGTGTCCAACTGTCAAAAGACTCGAAGTCTATTGTGAGCTAAGTTGCCTTCTTGTGTGTTCGGAATCAATGAAAGTTGTAAGTTACTGACTCTGCAGGTTATGAGAGGTTCACTTGGATTGCAGGCCAGTTTGGTACGTGATACGGATACGAATGCAAGAGTATGTTAATTTTTCTGGTACACAATGCGATAGAAATAAACTTAACTTATACGCTATTTTGGGTTACGGTTTACTTTGGACTCTTATCCTGATAGTTTCCATGATTAAAAAAAAATTATATATAGTTATACATTTTACACATAATTAGTTGCTAGTTATTTTAAACCTATAATAATTTGCACACTTATTTTATTTATATATGTATAAGTAAGTATTTAATTAACATTTATTTGTATTTTGTTGTACAAGTTTCATGGCAAATTGGGATCCATGACAACACATCAACTAATAATCGTGAATAAAAAAGTGATAATTACATATTTTATTATCAAAAAATAAAATCAAAAAAATTCATAATATAAATTTAAAGGTTTAAAATTTGAAAAACAGTATACTAGAGAGTGATTAAATAGCTTCCTACCTGAAACATAAATCAAAATAAAAGTCTTAAATGCTTAACAAGTTTCAAATAAAAATTACTCAAAAATAAAAAAAAAAAATCTGGAGCATAGGTGTTAATTGTCAACTTTTTTTTCTTTATCTTTTGTAGTGTTCCCTCTTCTTCCAAAACTGAAAATTTGAGTCTGATATAGTTCAAAATGACAGAGTGGTGGCTTGCTAGAACTAGTAGGTTGTCTGTCAATAAAAATGGGCATAGAAGCATGTAAGAATGAAGCTTTCCAATTTTCCTCTCTAACAATGGTAGAACTATCCGTATTATCATCCTCTCAAAATTTTCGCTGCAAATCCTCTAATCTTACAATGCTATGGATTTATATCTCATTTCTTAAAAGACTCATCTCTACTGCTTTCAGTGAAAGGTGATTGGAGATGAATATTTGAATGGGAGAATTTAATCTATTTCTCTTGACATTGTGAATAAATGAATATATACTCTAATTTCTTTAAGCTAAAGTACTTGTAATTGGTTGAGATAACACCTTTTATGAACAAATAATAAAACACATTAATAATGATAATTAACAATAAAAACTAATAATAATAAACTTAAATTAGTACGTTTTTTTGCCACATCTTCCAATTCTGGAGTTTCTAATAATAATAAACAACTATAGTTGCAAGGGACTGTCTACAATCAACACTTTAACAAAATATAACGCGACGCAAACCTAGTATTTGCCATTTTTAATTAGACAGATCCCTAAACATAACCAAAGCATTTGTATGGTTCAAGAAATATTTGACAATAGACTTTCCCCTTCTAGAAATATTTCTAAACCACTCAAATTCTTTTGTAAAGTTTTTAAAAATGAGATTCAGAGTATAAATAACACAAGAAGACCAAAATATGTGTTTGTGTACCTTTTTCACCTCTTTCCCTGCAAGTTTATAATTTGCTACGTTATCGGTCACTACTTGAATGATATTTAATGGATTTACTTCTTCAATGACTTTCAACAAACAATTGCTAATTGCTTTACCTATTTTCTCTATCCCTGAAAAATTCCCAACATATAAAAATATAGTTCCATGACTATTTACAGCAATAATTTATATTACTAAAAAAGTACCTTGAATGAAAAATTTTTAATTCACTATTTTACTTTTATAAAAAAATTTAAATACCACACTATTTTTCCATAATTAAATATCTAAATTATAATTATATTCTTATGTATTTAAATTTCTAAATTACCACATAACATTTCTTTTAATTTTCTATTCTCTTTGTATAAATATCAAAAAACTATGAAAATATTTAATTGATTAGGTTACCCTTAAAAAAATATGTCATCATTATAGTTTTCAATAAAGTGTTCAAATTTTTTTCAAAAAGTAGATTATTACTCTTTTCAAATATAAAGATAATAATATGCCTACATATATGTATTTTGTTTTTCATCTATACTACTAATAAAAGTATTTTAATATGAAAATTTTTTTATTTATTATTTTATCATTATAAATAATTTCAAATATCATACTACCCGTTTATAGTTAAATATCTAAATTACCATCATATAGATCTCCAAATTACATTTAAAATATTTTTTAATTCTCTAGTTCGTATGTATAAATATCAGTATATATGAAACTTTTAATTGACTATGTTACCCTTAAAAAATATATGCATCATTATAGTTTTTAATAAAACATTTAAAAAATCTTCACAAATTTCATCAATTTAACACTACCATTTCAAATATAAAGATAACATTATGTTTATATACATGTATTTTTTTCATTCAAAAAATTCAACCATTTCATTTTTAAGATAAAAAATAATCTTGCACGTAGTTATTTTTAAAAATAATTTATATTAAATCAACATAATGCTTCAATCAAAGAAATTTTTTCATGTTTTATTAAGAGTTTATATAAAAATAGATTATAGTATATTTTTAAGAAAAACTTTAATTTTAAACTTTTAATATTCTTTTAAAATATATATTATAGGGTAGTATATTATATTCTAGGGTTAATAGTATTTTTAGTCCCTAAAGTATGTATATTTTCTTAATTTAGTCATCATTGATCAATTTTATTAGTTTGGTCCATAAAATATTTAGTTAGTATTTAAATAATTCATACACAAATAGTCTCTTAAATTTTTTACAGGAGTGATCACGTGCTGATCACGTAATACTATCTGAAGGAATAACATTTGGTAACTTCTGTCAATGAGCTTAATGGACTATCTAGTTAGTGACCATTTAAACAAGAATTAAATATTTTAGAGACAAAATCTATATACTGAGGACGAAATTGACAAAATGAGTATTTTTTAGAGACTAAAAGTACTATTAACTCTATATTTTCTCTTTATTGACATAACTAATTCCTAATTATAGTAAGAATTAACAAAAATGTTGATAAATATTTTTATTTTATTAAATGAATTATAAGTTGAAGTCATATCAAATGACTAGTTATTGTTTGTACCTGAAGGCACAAAGTAATAAAAAATGATAAACAATAAATATATTTATATTCATATCCAAAATTAAATCGCAAACATAGAAAAGAAATAAATGAATTTAAACATTGATTTGTAGTGAGGGTGAAAGATAATGGGTGGTAGTGGTGGTGGTAGGAGACAGTAATAGTTATGGTGGTAACGGCGACGACGACGATAATGGTGGTGGTGGCCGCAACAGCGGTGGTGGTGGAGGCAGTGGCGGTGGTGGCGATGGTGGTGGCGGTGATGGTAATGACAGCGACGGCAACAACGATGGTGGTGGTGGCGGCGGCGGCGGTGGTAGAGGTAGTGGTGAAGCAGTTCAAAATAATATTTTTTTTTTTAAAATACTTGTGAAATAATTCCTAGAAACATTTTTAAAAAATTACTTCAAACACACCCTTAGGGCCCTATTTTTTTTATTAAATTTAAAATTTTAATATTAGCCGTTAGATTAACTTTAAAGTAAAATTTAAAACGATTTTAACCGCAAATAACAAAAATAATTTTTTTTATCTTTTAAAATTTAAATTATAAGTTACTTTATTATATAGATTTTCAAATAATCTATTTTTATCTTTTTTGTTATATAGTTGGAACAAAGGCTTGTATAGACGTGCATAACGATGCTGCCTAATTAATATCACCTAAAGATTATTTTGACTTTTTTAGCCCTTTTATTCAAAGTGTTATTTTGTCACGTTAGGCTGTTTTTGTCTTTTCATCCAAACTAATAGGATAAATTACAACTTATACACCCTTAAAGTATTGATATAGTTCCTATTTTATCTCAAGAGTTTCGATTTGAACAATTTAGTTCTTACAGTCTTGATTTGTGTTTCAATCACATACTTTTGTCCAGATCTATTTCGAACATCAAACGGAACAACATCACATGCAACTCACGTGACATTTAATAGGGGTATTTTGGACAACAAGAGTTATTGATTTGTCCCAAATGTCCCTCTTAAATGTCACGTGAGTTACATGTGATATTATTCCTTTTGGTGTTCGAAACAGATTTGGACGGAAATATGTGATCGAAACATAACGGCGGTGTTAAGGACTAAATTGTTCAAATTGAAACTCCAAGGACCAAATAGGAACTATATCAATATTTTGAGGGTATGAATTGTAATTAACCCAAACTAATACCCACCAGGTGATTTAGTCTACCAAGTCACGGTACAATGTCCCAGATCAAAAATCAAGTGAGTCGGTCTGCCAATACACCACAGAGAGGGATATGGGTGTCTCAGCCGAAAGCCAAAGACGAAGACGGGAAGCAATCTGCACAAGGTCGTTGGCGACTGTCGATCGAGTCATCCAAACCCGAAGATAGCACTGTTGGATGCAGTGATCCGAAAAGCTGTGTGGGGATCATCGGGTACGTAACCTACCTAATCTTCCCTCGCTTTGGCCTGTTATGACCTGATCTATGCAATTTCTTACATTTTGGAATGATTTGGTTTGATATGGGGTTAGGGTTTATATTGGAGATCTGGGTATTGTACTTTTGATTTAGGGATTGGATAAATAATTGGGGTCGGAGTGATGAGCGATCCAAGTTGCGAACGACCCCCGTTTGGGGTCGTGCGACCCAGATCGCGGTTCGTAGGGGAACACACGTTTTTCGGTAACCTGTTATGATTCCACCTCATTTGAATTTGAGTCTTTTCTGCGGTGTAATTCATGACTAGCACAAGTGAGCTCAGTATTCCCCTTTTGGAATGTATGGAAGCCATTCTAATTTGGGTACCATGATGACAAAAGAACTAAAGTCTTTGATTGTGTATGGGTTGACTGCCCGACACTCCATCAACTGAAATGTTTTTGTCATTATATCAAGCAGCTTAATTTCTGTCAGCTTCTTCATTGTATGCATTTCCCATTAAGTATGTTAAGTATATCAGTCGGATTTCCATGCAGATTGTGAAGGGTATGATTTAGCCTGGTTCCAGTGTGTTCTCTGTATAGCAGTTGATAATCCCGGGTCACTTGTGGTCTGACTTCTGTGAGAATAGAGTAACTTCAGGATGGGGCGGCTAAAGCTGCAATCTGGAATCAAGGCCATTGAAGAAGAACCTGAAGATTGTGAGTCAGCAAATTCTCCTCAATTCGCTATTGGATGTATGATTAATTCAGAAATAGGTGCTGTATTGGCTGTCATGAGGAGGAATGTGAGGTGGGGTGGTCGCTATATGTCGGGTGATGATCAGCTGGAGCACTCTCTCATTCAATCTTTGAAGGCATTACGGAGGCAAATATTTTCATGGCAGCATCAGTGGCATTCCATGAATCCAACCGTGTATCTACAGCCGTTTTTGGATGTGATTCGATCTGATGAAACTGGGGCACCGATCACAGGTGTTGCTTTGTCATCTGTTTACAAGATTTTGACTCTTGATGTGCTTGATCTGAACACAGTAAATGTTGAAGATGCTATGCACTTGGTAGTTGATGCCGTGACTAGCTGCAGATTCGAGGTGACTGATCCTGCATCAGAAGAAGTGGTCCTGATGAAGATACTTCAGGTTCTTCTGGCTTGCTTGAAAAGTAAAGCATCTGTTATGTTGAGTAATCAGCATGTTTGCACCATTGTAAACACATGTTTCCGTGTAGTACATCAAGCAGGAACAAAAGGTGAGCTGTTGCAGCGTATAGCTCGCCACACAATGCATGAACTTGTTAGGTGTATTTTTTCACACCTTCAAGATGTGGACAACACAGAATGTTCGTTGGTTACAAGAGGCAGTTCTATCAAACAGGATGTAAGTCTAAATATTACTTTCCCCCTTTTCTTTCCTTTTTTTAATTATTTATGTGATTTCCTTGTATGCAGTTTCTGCTTTCTCATAATAATATTGGTTCCTGGATGGGAGTGATAAAATATGTCATAAATAAAGAACCTGCAGACCTAGTTGTCTATGATTCTTCATTACAAATTTGGTTGACACTATTTTCCCTTATGCAGGTTGGTGGGATGGATAATAATTACAGTCTTGGGACTAAATCCTTAGAGAACGGCAATGGTACTTCAGAATATGATGGCCAACCATCTTCTGTGAGTTTCAGTTCTAATGCTGCCGGTGGTCTGGTTACAGCTGTGATGGATGAAAATATACTCGCTTCAGGTAATGGGAAGGATGCTATCTCATATGATATGCAATTGATGACAGAGCCTTATGGGGTCCCCTGCATGGTGGAGATATTTCACTTCTTGTGTTCATTATTGAATGTTGTTGAACATATGGGAATGGGTCCCAGATCAAATACTATAGCTTTTGATGAAGATGTGCCTCTTTTTGCCTTGGGTTTGATCAATTCAGCAATTGAATTGGGTGGCCCTTCTATACGGCGTCACCCTAGGCTGTTGAGTTTGGTACAGGATGAACTATTCCGTAATCTGATGCAATTTGGCTTGTCAATGAGCCCACTAATTCTTTCAATGGTTTGTAGTGTTGTTCTCAGTCTATATCATCATTTGCGTTCTGAACTCAAACTACAGCTTGAAGCTTTCTTTTCCTGTGTGATTTTGAGGCTTGCACAAGGCCGTTATGGGGCTTCATACCAGCAGCAGGAGGTTGCCATGGAGGCTCTTGTTGATTTTTGCAGGCAGAAGGCATTTATGGTGGAGATGTATGCTAACTTAGATTGCGACATTACTTGCAGCAATGTGTTTGAAGATCTGGCCAATTTATTGTCAAAAAGTGCATTTCCTGTAAACTGCCCTTTGTCTGCGATGCACATTCTTGCTTTGGATGGTCTGATTGCTGTAATTCAGGGAATGGCTGAGAGGATCAGCAATGGATCAGTTAGTTTGGAACACGGCCCCGTAACCCTTGAGGAGTATACCCCATTTTGGATGGTGAAGTGTGACAACTACAGTGATCCTGATCATTGGGTACCATTTGTCCGGCGGAGGAAATACATTAAAAGGAGACTGATGATTGGTGCTGATCACTTTAATCGGGATCCCAAGAAAGGGCTTGAGTTTCTTCAAGGAACGCATCTCTTGCCCGACAAACTTGATCCCCAGAGCGTGGCTTGCTTTTTCAGGTATACTGCTGGGTTAGATAAGAATCTTGTTGGGGATTTCCTAGGCAATCATGATGAGTTTTGTGTTCAGGTTCTTCATGAATTTGCCGGGACATTTGATTTCCAAGACATGAACCTGGATACTGCATTGCGGCTATTTCTGGAAACTTTCCGATTGCCTGGAGAATCACAAAAGATACAAAGGGTTCTAGAGGCATTCTCAGAGAGATATTATGAACAATCACCGCAGATTCTAGCTAACAAGGATGCGGCTCTCTTGTTGTCCTATTCACTAATAATGCTCAACACAGATCAGCACAATGTACAAGTTAAGAAAAAGATGACAGAGGAGGATTTTATCCGGAATAATCGGCACATCAATGGGGGTAATGATCTTCCTCGAGAGTTCTTGTCAGAATTGTACCATGCAATCTGCAAGAATGAGATACGCACAACCCCAGAACAAGGTTCTGGTTTCCCTGAAATGACACCAAGCCGTTGGATTGATTTAATGCACAAGTCCAATAAAACTGCCCCATTCATTGTGTCAGATTCCAGAGCCCATCTGGACCGAGATATGTTTGCTATAATGTCAGGCCCAACAATTGCGGCTATTTCTGTGGTATTTGATCATGCAGAACTTGAAGATGTATACCAAACATGTATTGATGGATTCTTAGCTGTTGCAAAGATTTCTGCATGCCACCATCTCGAAGATGTTCTGGATGACTTGGTGGTGTCTCTATGCAAGTTCACAACCCTCGTGACCCCGTCTTCTGGCGAGGAACCTGTTTTAGCCTTTGGTGATAACACAAAAGCTAGGATGGCAACTGTAACAGTTTTTACCATTGCAAATAGGTATGGTGATTTCATCCGTGCTGGTTGGAGGAATATCCTGGATTGCATCTTAAAATTGCACAAGCTTGGTCTTCTACCTGCTCGTGTAGCCAGTGATGCAGCTGATGATTCAGAAATCTCTTCTGAACCTGGACATGGGAAGCCTCTAACAAATTCTTTATCTTCAGCTCACATGGCACCCATGGGTACTCCAAGGAGATCTTCTGGACTGATGGGCCGGTTCAGTCAGCTCTTATCTCTCGACACAGAGGAGCCAAGGTTGCAACCTACTGAACAGCAACTTGCTGCTCATCAACGCACCCTTCAGACAATTCAGAAATGCCACATTGACAGTATTTTCACAGAGAGTAAGTTTCTGCAAGCCGATTCTTTATTACAGCTTGCACGGGCACTCATTTGGGCTGCCGGGCGACCTCAAAAGGGAAATAGTTCTCCTGAGGATGAAGACACTGCAGTTTTCTGCTTAGAGTTGCTGATTGCAATTACCCTGAACAACAGGGATAGAATTGGGCTACTCTGGCAGGGTGTTTACGAGCACATATCCAACATTGTTCAGTCAACTGTGATGCCCTGTGCCCTGGTTGAGAAAGCTGTTTTTGGATTACTACGGATTTGCCAACGGCTACTTCCCTATAAAGAGAACCTTGCTGATGAACTGCTGAGGTCACTGCAACTTGTTCTGAAGCTTGATGCTCGTGTGGCTGATGCATACTGTGAACAAATCACACAGGAAGTCAGTCGTCTGGTGAAAGCAAACGCCACACACATCCGGTCCCAAATGGGATGGCGTACAATCACATCTCTACTCTCCATCACAGCTCGTCACCCAGAAGCTTCTGAAGCAGGATTCGATGCACTGTTGTTTATCATGTCTGAAGGAGCCTACTTAATGCCAGCCAATTATGTCCTCTGTGTTGATGCAGCAAGGCAGTTTGCTGAGTCACGTGTTGGACAGGCAGACCGATCTGTGCGTGCACTGGATCTCATGGCGGGTTCTGTTGCTTGTTTAGCAAGATGGGCGCAAGAAGCTAAGGAAGCTATGGGGGAGGCAGAGGCCGTAAAAACATGCCAGGATATAGGGGAAATGTGGTTGAGGCTTGTGCAGGGACTGAGAAAAGTTTGCTTGGATCAAAGAGAAGAAGTTAGGAACCATGCTCTCTTGTCATTGCAAATGTGCTTGACGGGAGTAGATGGGGTCCACCTTCCTCATGGACTATGGTTGCAGTGTTTTGATTTAGTCATATTCACGGTGCTTGATGACTTGCTTGAAATTGCACAGGGGCACTCCCAAAAAGACTACCGCAACATGGAAGGGACACTTGTCCTTGCATTGAAGCTCCTTTCAAAAGTGTTTTTACAGTTGCTTCACGAGCTCTTGCAATTAACAACCTTCTGCAAACTATGGCTGGGTGTTCTTAGCCGGATGGAAAAGTATTTGAAAGTGAAAGTCAGAGGGAAGAGAAGCGAGAAGCTTCAGGAACTAGTCCCGGAGCTTCTTAAGAACACCTTGCTTGTTATGAAGACAAAGGGGGTGTTGGTGCAGAGGACTGCTCTGGGCGGAGATAGCTTGTGGGAACTGACGTGGTTACATGTGAATAACATCGCGCCATCTCTGCAATCTGGAGTGTTCCCAGATCAAGAATCCATGCAGTCACTGCCTAATCAAGGTGAAACAGGGGAAAGTCTCGTGTCCAATGGAAACAATTCTGCTCCAAATGAACAGTGACTCCAGAAAGTGCCTGTGCTCGACCAAGGAGCTAATGGACTGTATGGGTATTTTGTGGCTTGAATTAGGCTTCTTAATCCATGGTTTTTACCTGGTTTGATTGTGAAGATGGTGGTGTTCATGTTAGATCGTAGTTTTATTATAAGTTTGTTGAATTTCACAGTATAGGCTGATCAAGATCCTCCAAACAGCATTATGGTTGGATCTGCAAGGTATAATTTGGCACCAAGGAACATATAGGTTGAGGTTTTTTGCTGTTCAAGACTAGATGTCAAGTGATCTTCTATCCCTGGTGCCCTTTTTTTATATCCTCAGTGAAAGTTTGTCCACTGTATTTTCTAGATTAACCACATATTTGTGGGTGAATCTTACATTGTGCCCTCAAATTCAAAATATCTGACCTTGAGCCTTGAATGTATTGACAAGGTGGAAAATGTACCCTGAATCACAGAGGGAAGCTGTTTTGCTGTCAATGTGCCCCTCAACGTGTGTTACATGAATTGCTAAACACACCAAAATAGCACCCCAAATCTAGCCATTGGGACAACCGGCTCTTCTTATCCACCTGTATATGCTCACACAACAAGTGAGAAAATTTCTTTAATTTCCGAAATGAATCTAACTTAACAGGAAATGATGACTAGAAAATTTTTGTTTTGTATTTGTCTCTTACGAGCACGAGATTTGAACCCTTGAACGCTTCGATAAGAGGAAACTCGTGGTGGGTAATTATTCAATTTCTTAAAGACATGATTGCCCTACAAACATCTAAATTAAATTCACCATTCCTCAAGAGAGAGGAGAGAGAAATTCTATATGAAATACAAATAAAAGATATAATTAATCAGAAACTTTCTTGAACAATAAATCTCGAACAGAGGAATACTGTTGTATACTTTTTTAATAGCTTTTGTTATTAGACAGCATAATAAAGAATGAAATCTGTAGTATCAACCCCTAGCTTGGAGCCAAAACCACCCACCTTGCCGGAGAGATCACCGGCAGCATTGCTTCTGGATAAACCGTCGTGTGGGTGATGGTGGTGGTTGTCGTCGTGGTTAGTTGGAGGGTGGTAGTACATGCGTGCCGTCTGAGGACAATGAGAATGAAATCTTGTTATGATTCTCACTCCCGCATCCAACATTTCTATATACTTTCCCATTCCCCCCCCCCCCCTCTCTCTCGTTGTAACTTTTTCGAATCTATTACCAATATACCATATTTATTAAACTTATTTATCGATTTACTGTCGTTTTCAACTTATTTATCAAATTACCGTTGTTTTAAAAACAGATTTGACAAATCCGACTTCAATTAAAAAGTGGATTTCATAAATCCGATTTCATAGGAAAAGCAGACATATCAAATTTGTCTTTATATGAAAAACGGACATACCAAATCCGCCTTTATATGGAAACCAGACTTATCAAGGTGCAAGTCTTTATATGTATAATTGTGTTGATCGCCAAAAGAGTATTTGACTATTTATTGAATACGTTTGATCTCTCTGATTCTATATTATTTGTGAATAAATTATTCACTTTTATTAGTCGATAAAAATCCACTGATAGATTCTATCTAAATTTATTAGTTATAACCCGTGCATGAAGGCATGATAAAATATAAAATTTGAGCATTTAAAAAATCGATCCCATTATATTAAATTTTTTTCAAAATATATTAATTATAAATTAATCAAATATTAAATAATTAAATATATGATAAAAATTAGTGATTTATTTTTTAGGAAAAAAAAATATGAAGTCAAGAATTTCGGGTGGTATCCCAATAAGAAAATTAGATAAAATATTAAAAGTTACTAGTTGAGACAAAAAATGAATTTGGTATGTCTGCTTTTCTAAATGAAGTCAGATTTGGTTTGTTCACTTTCCCTATAAAGTCAGATTTGGCAATTCCGTTTTCCAAATGAAGTCGAATTTGTCAAATCCATTTTTAAAACAACGGTAGTTTGGTAAATAAGTTGAAAACGATAGTAGATCGGTAAAAAAGTTTGATAAATGGGATAGATTGGTCATAGATTCTAACTTTTTTTGGGAGGAGAGGGAAAGGAAATGGAATAGAAAAAAGAAAGAGACGATGAAAGATGTTAGAAGGAGTCCCGCATGCAAGAGGCCATGAAATTGTGGTATTTATTTTGGCATGATCCCACCTTTCTTTTGTTGTGGTTGTGAAAAGTATTTGCATTTCTGTCCAAATATATTTGTTTTTTTTTCACATTTCATACCTCCCATGCCTAAATTTATTGTGTGTTTTAATGGAACATGAGACAAAACAAGAAAATCAATAAATCATAACATAAATGTCAACAAAAAGTACTATGTACGATTATGCTTATTTGACATGTGAATTAAAAGAATAACCTAATGTGTGACACTATTATTATTACGATCGAAGAGTGTTAGATGTTCATGGTCCATCCTATGTGCAAAAAAATTACTTTTACAACTCAAAATAATTGAAACCAATATCACGATAGAACAATCTTATTTGTGTCATGGTCAAGATATAACTAATGCATCATAATAATCTCTAATACTTACTCTAGATTAATGGGATCTTTTTCACTATCAATGCTCCATAATTCTTTTAACGCTAAATTACCCACAAATAGAGAATCTACTTAAATGCAATCGAGTACTCTTATGCTAAAAAACTCAATCCTTGCTAGTCTAATATGACCAATTTTTGTGGAATAAGAAGATGAGCTTATATGCTTTGAAAATAGATTGTTCAATTCAACCTATGCCTGTAAATTTTATTTTTTATAATTTATCTGGCAATTCTGATAGAAATGTTTAAGAGGCTACTATTTTTGAGGTCTTAAATTCAAATATCACTAGAGGCGTTCTGAGTGATCCGGTGTACATAATTCGTAAGCAATTATGTACATCCCAAATACAAATTATAGTTATGAGTTTCAAATTGTATGGTCAAGAATATTACAAAACATGGTTTTGGCCCTGAATTAAAATTGAGGGCAAATTTCAGCCACATGTCTCTCCCCCTCTCTCTCTCTCTCTGCTTGCATTTTCTTGGAGCTTTTCTACAATGGATAGAAATAGCTGCTCTCCAAAAATAAACAAAATGGATTCATTAGACTGGTTGAAATAGAGAGCATCTTTTATGAAAATTTGAAATAAAGAGTAAGATTTTTTAAACAACTCCAAGAAAAATAGTCATGTAGTCAATAACATCCAATGAAAATGTATATGTGTAATTTTTTCATTCAAACAAAATAGAATAGATAGTGAGACAGGCTTTCTAAATGTGGAGAGTTAAATTAAGTTCTATATTTTAATTAGTCTAAATAAAGAATGTATTGAAACTTAATTTTTTATAGTTAACTCTCCAAAATAGAACGTTGAGTGAAAAGAGAGAGCAATTCACCTCCCCAATGGACTTAGAACTATCATTGAGATTAGTTTTGACATACTATTATTTTGTCTCTTCAAATTATGAGATTTGTGTTGCTTTTTTCCTTTCAACTTTTAAAATTTTAAAATCCTTATCCACTACGTCATTGATTTCACATTATCTAAAACACAAATACCTATTACTTTTTTGACCAAAAATGTCTATGTTTAGAGACAAAGTGAAAGAAAATAACATAGTTTGGGGGTAAAGTGAAATAATTTTTCATCAAAATTCCCGAAGATATTAATTATAATTGAAGATGCAACATGAACAATACGAGAGTTGAGCGGATAAAGTGATATAAATCTTATACTTTGAGGTAACAAAACTATAATTGAAAGTACTGAAAAATATGATAGTTTGGTGGATAAAATGACATAAATCTCATAATGAGGCAAAGTAGAAAATCCAATGGATAAACAGACCCTGTAGTCCTGTACCACACCCGCACTACACACCCTGTCCCATACTGTGTTGCTAACCTATACCCCTATCATCCACCAGACATCAACTGTCCTCACAAGCCATCTTCTTGATCCTCAGGGCTGCCCAATGGAGCTCCTCCTCATTGACTCCGGAAACCTGAGCTGGTCCTTCTCTTCTTTCTTTACCTCCACCACCTATTCGACAAAAGTCCCCCAAGACTCGGCAAACCCACAGAACTCACCAGTTTTTACCATCAAATTATCGAAAAAGAGTTCTGAAAACTCTTCACGAGGCCTTCAAAAGTCACCCAAGAAGGACCTGTCTCGGATTCTGCGAACAGAGGCTGCCATTAAAGCAATTGAGAGAAAAGCAAACTCGACAAAGTACAATCGGTTATGGCCCAAAGCTGTTTTGGAGGCTTTGGACGATGCTATAAAAGAGAATCGTTGGGAGTCTGCTCTTAAGGTTGGGGGGCTTTGTTGTTCTGGATCTGTTTTATATTAGTTATTGGCTACATTGGTTTTGCTTTGTGTTTTATCTTCTGGGTTTTTGAAATAAGATGTTTTTGCATTTGACATTTGCTAATGTCTACTGGGTTTTCTTGGTTGTGATATAAAGAGTTTGTTCATTCTGTCCTTCTATCACTTAACTATTAATGAAAACCTACAAGTTTCTCATATGTATGGTGAAAATTTTGTGAGAAATTGCGGTAAGCTAACATTTTCTCTAAAATTTTGAATGTCAAAAAAATATGGGCCAGTTTGATCCTGTTAGGGATTGTGTTGGGTGGGGGGACAAGTATTTTGAGTTATTTGCACATAATAACAAAGTGCTGCCTTGTATTTGAACCTACAATCACCTACGATTTTATTCCCATTGCACTAAGCAATTACCCAGGTTGAATGCCACAGACACATGTTACAATTGTTGGTTTCAAATCATACCTGTATATACCTTGGGTCTGTCTTCTTGATTTTGGCAAGGTCTGACATGAAAATGTATTTCCTATTTGTAGATTTTCGGTCTTCTTCGTAAGCAACATTGGTATGAGCCAAGATGCAGAACATACACTAAGTTGTTAGTTATGCTTGGCAAATGTAGGCAGCCCAAGCAAGCTAGCTTGATTTTTGAGATCATGAAGCTTGATGGGCTCCAGCCCACCATTGATGTTTACACAGCACTCGTGAGTGCATATGGCATCAGTGGCCTTCTTAACGAGGCATTTCATACTGTAGAGGATATGAAATCAGTCTCTAACTGCAAACCTGATGTGTATACTTATTCAATACTCATCAACTGTTGCACTAAACTTCGTCAGTTTGATATGATTGAATCCATTCTTGCTGAGATGTTGTACTTGGGAATTGAATGTAACACCATCACATACAACACTCTGATTGATGGATATGGCAAGGCTGGACTGTTTGAACTGATGGAGAGTTCATTGACGGGTATGATTGAAAGTGACAGATGCCTTCCAGATGTTTTCACATTTAATTCTGTTGTCGGGGCATATGGGAACAGTGGGCAGATTGAGAAAATGGAGAAGTGGTTTGATGAGTTTCAGCTAATGGGGTTAAGGCCAGACATTATGACATTTAATATCCTGATTAAGTCATTTGGTAAAGCATGTATGTATGAGAAGATGGAGTCTGTTATGGGCTTCATGAGGAAAAGGTTTTACTCACCATCTGTCGTTACTTTTAACATAATTATCGAGGCATTTGGGAGGGCCGGAGATTTTGAGAAGATGAATGAAATCTTCTTAAAAATGAAGCATCAAGGAATGAAGCCTAATTCAGTTACTTATTGCTCTCTTGTTAGCGCATATAGTAAAGCTGGGCTTTGGAAGAAAGTTGATTCCTTATTAAGGCAAATAGAAAATTCTGATGTGATTCTGGATGTTCCGTTTTTTAACTGCATCATAAGTGCCTATGGCCAGGTTGGTGATGTGGTGAAAATGGGTGAGCTATTCTTGGCTATGAAAGAGAGAAACTGTAAACCAGACAATATGACCTTTGCTACCATGATCCAAGCTTACAATGCCCAAGGAATGATTGGGGTTGCTCGAGATCTGGAGCTTAAGATGATTACTGCAACAGATAACTCAGGTATCTTCTTGCAAAATTTACGCATTATCTGGTCTATGGATTATTAAGTTCTCTCCAACCAAAGATTGGTATATTGTTAACTACTGAAGGTTATAGCTTTGTCTGTTGGCAATGTAAATTTTTACTATAGGTTTTCTTGTTGGTAAATAAATTTTTTTTCTTACAATAGTTAGTGTTGATGAATCCAAATTTTACACAAGGCAAATCATACTTTTTTTAGGAATGAAGTTGATTGGATGCAAGTCTGATTGACGTAGAAGAGGAATTCTAATCTCCCTTATTGTCAAAAATCAGAGGAGAAAAATTCTGTATTGTCACTACTTTCAGCAGAAGGTTAGTATCATTGCTTCATTTCTCCTCCTTCTATTTACCTTAAAACTTGAATTCATTGATGCTTTTTAAATTATCATGTGTACCGTCCAAAAGCAAGCTGGTTATTTAAAGTTTTGGAGGCAGACAAATTTGATGAACCATTAACCATTGTCATATGCTTTTGTTTTAGCATTCAGAGGACAAGGTAATGGTGAGCTAGTTCTAAGATACAGCTTTCGTGATAAGAAAAAGGAAACCCAAGAAATAAGTTTAAGAGTGGTATTCTCCTCTCTTTTCCGGGATGGATTTAACATATTCATCTTCTCTCTATTCTAGTGTCTCACTCGGTCTTCCCGAATAAAGGGAGCTTTTTGGTTTCTTTTGTTCTCTTATTCAGCTGTCCAAATGAGTTCGTCACTTGAAGAAATGTTGTAGATTACGTATTAGAAAACAGATGGAAAAATATTTTTTCTTTTTAAAAAAAAAAAGAGGTTCTGATTAGGGGACACAGAAATAACTTGAGGATGGTCAGGGTGATCATGTTCAGGGTAGGTTGAATGAGATTGAGCTTCATCGACACTTTTTCCTGAGGTTTTATTGAAGAACGATTGCTGAGCTAAAAGGAGAGTGTTTGTGCGGCCACATTAGTTGGTTGAAACTGGGATATCTTGTAGTTTGGGGAATCTGTACATATAGTGGGCAGCAAATCAGCAAATGTAACTTGTCATTTGAGAGCACCTAATTTGGAAGTGGTTGATCATAGGTTTAGTAAACCAACCGTGACGTGGCTCTTATTAAAAGAAAGGTCCAAAATGAGGTGGGAATTACAGTCCATCATGTGAACTTAGTGCTGCATTCCTACGGTTAATCAAACATAGGGGAATTCTTCATAGTAAATTTAGCTGCAAAAATTGGCTCTTGAACACATCCAAACAAGAAGTAGAGGCATTTGTCTATAGCCAATTGCAGTAAGAAATGCCAAATTACTGAAAAAGCTTTATTATTATACTTGACATCCCCAATGACAAATATGTGCTTAGAGGGTCCTTTTTTTTTATCTTGCTTAGAGGGTCCTTCAAGCATATTAATTTTGAAAAGAAGTCAAAAAATATGGTAACTGTGAGCAATTAGGGAAACAAAGAGTTAGTGCATTAAGGAAACCACAAATGTAAGATACTGAACAGATATAAAATCCACAAAATCAAGAGTTGGCGTCCTCTAATATTTGTTGGTTTGGCATGGGGTAGACGGAGAAATGGAAGAAAGAGATTAAGCAAGGAGAAATGTGAAAGCAAGTTTAAATCTTAGCAAAAACCATGGCATGAGCCTCTTCAAGCCAAAGGGATTGCAACGAGCTCAGAGAGAGTGCTCCAATCCCAAAGTTGTACATTATGAGCAAAAGAGTGGTAGAGAGGTACAATACAAAAAAATAGTAGAAAAAGAAAAAAGAGGGGCATATGGAGAGAGAGAAGAAAGAGGCATCAATCTTTGTGTGTTCCCAAGTTGAAATTTGTCTCAAGAGTTCAGAGGCTAGGAATACATATGAGGAAGCTTTTAGGTTCCCAGCCCTTTATTTCCCCCAAGTTTATGCCATCATCATGGACAATGTAAGTGCGAAGTCATTGATGTAATCCTTGGAAGGATGCAGGACTATTTAATGAATCGTAGAGAACATATAGTGGGCAGCAAATCAGCAAATGTAACTTGTCATTTGAGAGCACCTAATGTGGAAGTGGTTGATCTTAGGTTTAGTAAACCAACCGTGACGTGGCTCTTATTAAAAGCAAGGTCCAAAATGAGGTGGGAATTACAGTCCATCATGTGAACTTAGTGCTGCAGCCCTATGGTTAATCGAACATAGGGGAATTCTTCATAGTAAATTTAACTGCAAAAATTGGCTCTTGAACACATCCAAACAAGAAGTAGAGGCGTTTGTATATAGCCAATTGCAGTAAGAAATGCCAAATTACTGAAAAAGCTTTATTATTATACTTGACATCCCCAATGACAAATATGTGCTTAGAGGGTCCTTTTTTTTTATCTTGCTTAGAGGGTCCTTTTTTTTTATCTTGCTTAGAGGGTCCTTCAAGCATATTAATTTTGAAAAGAAGTCAAAAAATATGGTAACTGTGAGCAATTAGGGAAACAAAGAGTTAGTGCATTAAGGAAACCACAAATGTAAGATACTGAACAGATATAAAATCCACAAAATCAAGAGTTGGCGTCCTCTAATATTTGTTGGTTTGGCATGGGGTAGACGGAGAAATGGAAGAAAGAGATTAAGCAAGGAGAAATGTGAAAGCAAGTTTAAATCTTAGCAAAAACCATGGCATGAGCCTCTTCAAGCCAAAGGGATTGCAACGAGCTCAGAGAGAGTGCTCCAATCCCAAAGTTGTACATTATGAGCAAAAGAGTGGTAGAGAGGTACAATACAAAAAAATAGTAGAAAAAGAAAAAAGAGGGGCATATGGAGAGAGAGAAGAAAGAGGCATCAATCTTTGTGTGTTCCCAAGTTGAAATTTGTCTCAAGAGTTCAGAGGCTAGGAATACATATGAGGAAGCTTTTAGGTTCCCAGCCCTTTATTTCCCCCAAGTTTATGCCATCATCATGGACAATGTAAGTGCGAAGTCATTGATGTAATCCTTGGAAGGATGCAGGACTATTTAATGAATCGTAGAGAACATATAGTGGGCAGCAAATCAGCAAATGTAACTTGTCATTTGAGAGCACCTAATGTGGAAGTGGTTGATCTTAGGTTTAGTAAACCAACCGTGACGTGGCTCTTATTAAAAGCAAGGTCCAAAATGAGGTGGGAATTACAGTCCATCATGTGAACTTAGTGCTGCAGCCCTATGGTTAATCGAACATAGGGGAATTCTTCATAGTAAATTTAACTGCAAAAATTGGCTCTTGAACACATCCAAACAAGAAGTAGAGGCGTTTGTATATAGCCAATTGCAGTAAGAAATGCCAAATTACTGAAAAAGCTTTATTATTATACTTGACATCCCCAATGACAAATATGTGCTTAGAGGGTCCTTTTTTTTTATCTTGCTTAGAGGGTCCTTCAAGCATATTAATTTTGAAAAGAAGTCAAAAAATATGGTAACTGTGAGCAATTAGGGAAACAAAGAGTTAGTGTATTAAGGAAACCACAAATGTAAGATACTAAACAGATATAAAATCCACGAAATCAAGAGTTGGCGTCCTCTAATATTTGTTGGTTTGGCATGGGGTAGACGGAGAAATGGATGAAAGAGATTAACCAAGGAGAAATGTGAAAGCAAGTTTAAATCTTAGCAAAAACCATGGCATGAGCCTCTTCAAGCCAAAGGGATGTAACGAGCTCAGAGAGAGTGCTCCAATCCCAAAGTTGTACATTATGAGCAAAAGAGTGGTAGAGAGGTACAATACAAAAAAATAGTAGAAAAAGAAAAAAGAGGGGCATATGGAGAGAGAGAAGAAAGAGGCATCAATCTTTGTGTGTTCCCAAGTTGAAATTTGTCTCAAGAGTTCAGAGGCTAGGAATACATATGAGGAAGCTTTTAGGTTCCCAGCCCTTTATTTCCCCCAAGTTTATGCCATCATCATGGACAATGTAAGTGCGAAGTCATTGATGTAATCCTTGGAAGGATGCAGGACTATTTAATGAATCGTAGAGAACATATAGTGGGCAGCAAATCAGCAAATGTAACTTGTCATTTGAGAGCACCTAATGTGGAAGTGGTTGATCTTAGGTTTAGTAAACCAACCGTGACGTGGCTCTTATTAAAAGCAAGGTCCAAAATGAGGTGGGAATTACAGTCCATCATGTGAACTTAGTGCTGCAGCCCTATGGTTAATCGAACATAGGGGAATTCTTCATAGTAAATTTAANCAACCCCCCCCCCCCCCCCAACATCATAGTAAATAAGGACTTAACGAACACAAAAGGGCAAATATATTGTATAATGGAAGCAGTAAAACTAATAGCATGAGAATAAATATATCATATTAGATACAGCCCTATGAATCACAGATACTTCTATTAGGGTGAAGTATTTGTATCTGATACGCATCAAATACTTTTAGCATGTTTCAATAATTATTGAAATATTCTTCATTGTTTGATAATGTTTGGATACTTTTCAAATACGTGTATCTGCATTTATGCTCATTATACTTCGTGAAGTGGTTTGTGTAGATTTGAGTTGGTCTTTTTGCTCAGTGGTTTCTGTGGCTTGTTTGTGTGCTCATTACATTGAGGGAAAGATTAACTGGTTGGAAGCTCCTTATACACGTCCCATAGAGAATTGTTTCATTTCAGAGTGACTTTGCATGCAACTTTCCCGCTTTAGAGAGAGTAGTGTTAGGATGAAGTATTGAGAATGGTGTACAACTTATTGGAGTTAAATAATGAGTTTTTAATAATGGATGATATTGCAACTGGATGCTAAGTCAAAATTGAGGACTCTCTAAAGATGATACATGTTCAGTTTTAGGATTGCACACCGCATTGGATTGAGAACACCATTATGTTGTCCCTATATCATCCCGAGTATCATTATAATATCTTATAGTCAAAAAATATATGTAATAAAAGAGATGCGTCTTAACCGTGATAATGTCAGGTTTTCAGGAGCATTATAATTTATGTTAAACCTGTTTCCATCTGCAATTTAGTTGCTCTTTTAAAATAAAAATAAAAATAAAAATTAATTGTATGATGTGCACAATTCAGTTGCTATCAATATCCTTGGAATTTTCTTTGATTACAAAAAATCAGCTCACTCAGCTTTCCATGTTTCAGAAAGAGTGGGAAGTTGTCAACTTCTTTAGTTATCTCATACTTAATAAATTGCTGGTAGGAACAACATTACAATTTCATGTTGTCCAGTAATGGATATCAGAATTGTGTTGACCTGATTTGCAGTGGCCTCTGCTGATACCCATAAAAGGTTTTCCGGATTTTGGCAGGGGGCTATAATCTTATTAACAAGCTCTGTGGGATGTCCTTCCAAATTATGGTTATGTTTCTGTAACGGCAAATTTCGTGAAATGAATTAACACTAAATAAGGTCAAGTTACAATAGTCAATTTGATTGACTTTAAGTAAAAAAAAATGTAGTGTTAACTCTCTTTGGCGTGCTTCGCACGTGCACTGTCCTCTGATTCTCGGTGAATTTGATGAAGTTGATGAAGTTGATGAATTTGGTGAAAATGAGGGCCAGATTGGCGTATTTCTCACTCTTCAATTGGTGACTTTGATGAGAACAAGAGTTAGAACTCTTCAATTGGATGATGCTTTTGATGAATCTCCTCACCGTTCTTCGTTTGGAATGGTTTGAAGATGATTTGAATTTCTTGAAGAAGGACCTTGGCGGTGTGTTCTTCTTCTTAAAGATGAACTTGCAAGGCTTTAGTGAACTTCGAGCAGAGCTTCGCCGATCTTTCTTTCTCCTTGTCTTCTCCTTTTTTCCCCCTTTTTTTTTTGGCCTACCTCAGACCTCTATTTATAGCAGTAGGAGTAGTTATCCATATAAATGTATTTTACCTGAATACCCTTATGTGGACTTTAGGTAATGGACTACCCATAAATTTGTGGGCTTTTGTTAATTTATGGAATTTAAGTCCAACTTTTTATATGTTTGTTTAATTTGGGCTTATGGAATTTAAGTTCATTTAATTTAGCAAGCCTTGTTAATTGTATTTTGGCTTCTATTATTTGGGCTGTGGAATTTAGGTCCAACTCAAGTTTATTTAATTACATTTAGACTTATATCATTTGGGCTTATGAAATTTAGTTTCAACCCAATTTCATTTATCTAATTGATTTGAGCCCAATTATAGACATTAATTTGTTAATTAAAATTTTAATGTCTACAGTTTCTTCCATTATTTCTATGTAGGCATTAAGAACACTGCAAACTGGTTTGTTGCAACCACACTGTTGTCAACATAAGGAGAGAGCGCATTGATATTTATGCCTCCTGTTTGTTGCTTCTTTGAGAATATCGCGAATGAAATTGGATTAGACAGGAGGTACCTAGAAGTGGGGAGCCACCTCCATCCACACTTCCTCATCTACGAGTGAACGAGCAAACTTAGCCCAGGTATGAGCTACACTTTACCACATCTGTTTACATATCTCACTGTACAATTTTTAAAATCAGATAGCATATTTGTTTGATACTTTGTATTAGAGTATCAGTTGAGGACCAGTCTTCATCTTCTTTGCAAGTTGCTTAATTACTCCTCGAGCACCACCTTCCAGTATGAGGTTCACAGAGTTGTTAGCCGCAGCAAATTGTAGAGCTTCCATTGCAGCTAAAACTTCAAGGTTCTTGGCTTTCATCACAAAAGGAAATCTCCTTGCAAAAGCAGCCACAAATCGCGTCAATGTTTATCTTCAAAATGTTTGTTGCTGGTTGACACCATTGGAACGGATTTCTCAATTACCCTCAATAGCAGATCACCCAATACGAATTACATGATGGTTGATCATCGTTGAAAGTGTATCGTAGGGGATTTGAATCCATTAGAAAGGGATCAGGAGAAACTGATTTCTTCAAGTATCCTCTAAGTACGTCGAGAAATATTTTTGTTTGCTGAGAAATACATGAAATGAATTATGGACCATGAAGCATTTTCAATCATAGCTGTTGGATCAATTGCTTTTGTGCCTGCTAATGAAGATTATTGTCAATTCAGGGCAGCATAGCTGCATGAATGAACTCTTCTGGTGTAATTGAAATGGCATTGACCATCAGTTCTTACTCTCATCTTGGATTATTTTGTTAGTTTTAGAGTAAATTGTATTGACGTTTTGCTGAAATCACTAAATCACTCTTGATATTTGGAAAATGACACAAAAAAACCCTTTATTCTATTAAAATAATTGTTTTATCCTTATCTAATTGAGTTGGAAAAATGTAAATACCAACAGTGTCATATTTTTATTTTTATTTTTTTTAGGGGAGGGGAGTTAATCCCTTGACCTCAAGAAGACGAAACAAAAGAAGTATCATTTTTTAAACGAATTAAGCTTGAACAATTTATTAGACTCGTTTAGAAAAATAAGCTCAACAATTTTGATTCGAGTTCGTAAAGTTCAGCTTGATTATCAACTTTAATTGTTGAACCAAAGGCCCGTAAATGTAAATACCAACATAGATAGTGTCATAGAATTCAAAACTTATCTATAAATTGAGAAATTTATAGTACTGTGTTGGGTGCTGAACCGAAAAGCATTTGGAAAAATTATGACCAATGATGTTGGACTATGACTTGATGCGGTTAAAACAAATTTTTATATCAAATTAAAAAAATCATTGTCAATCTTAATTCTTAAATAATCGGGTTTAATTGAATACTTTGAATAGTAACTTGACTTATTGGATTATCCCTTCAAAGGCTAGCAATTGTAGTTTGGAACATACCTTAATCAGTCAATAATAACTGAAAAAAAAAAATGGTAACCCACAACTCAAATATTTAAGCTCTGTTTCAGTTATACTTTTATTACATTCTTTGTTTTTAAAGGCTAAATGGGTGGCACCAAAGCGGAATTGATTGGTGGTGGTTGGTCGAAACTCCAGTAGGTAGTCACTCGAATTGTACGTAAGACTTCCGTTATCATATGATTTCATCCAGGGTTTTCATTCTCGGCCTTATCATTAGACCATTATTTACCCATGTTTTTTTAGTCTGGACTCTCGAATCTTTTTCTTTTCGGGTGGTGGCAAATAATGCTACTTTGTGTTGCAAGAGATGTCCGCCCGTAGGGCCAGCTTACTTCCCACTCGAAAGAACCGCCTCACTAGCTAGCTGGACTAATTGGGGGGAGGGGGGGATCTTATCTGAAGATATACCGAAAACCATGCCTTTCGAACCAAAATGGTATTCGGCTTCTTAGTAACTCCATGTTTACTGACTAGCTCAAGAAATCACTTTTATTATTTATAGTTCTTACTAATAAACTATAACTTTTGGCTGTCGTGCAAACTAAGTAGGCACACAATCATTCAAAAGCGACACGCATCGCATTAACCAAGTTCTCTCTTCGTAGATCTGAATTTGAAATCTCAAGACAGTAACTAAATCTGTTTATATATGTTTATGATTTTCAAACTTTTTATTGATACTGTAATTTCTAATTCTTTTTGTAATTTACTACTTTTTACATAATATTGCAATCTAAATCGTCATTTTTTTAATTTAAAATCTTGTTTGTAAGACACATTTTTCATAGAAAATCTCGAAAGCATAATTTATAACACAATTGTTGAAAAGTGAGATTTTAAACCACACTTTTATACAAACAATGAGAAATAAATAAGTTTTCAACCATAATTTAAAGGCAATAAAGCTTAAAAACCACAATAGGATAGTGAAAAATCAAAATTAACCATGAAAAACTGTCATTCGAGCTACCTTGGCGGGTTTTAATTTACAATTTTTGCATTACCCCTATTTCAATTCTTTTAAATTGCTAAATCAACCAACATACCCTCATAATCCAGAGGGTAATCTGGTGATTTTGAAGATGGAAAATATTTGATGTTTGGCTTCTTAAACATAAGGGGCACACATGTGAATGGGATCTTAGTTTTGAAAAGAGACTCCTAATATAAAAATAATATAACTTCAGTTTGTAAATGGAAGTACAAGAAGGATACTACCTTTCAATGAGGAAAAAAAATCAAGGACTTGAAGACAAAATCATTAGCAAGCACTAGGAAAAGAAATTGTTCTGGCCAACCTCCAAATTTTCCGAGGGAAGAAAATAGTTGGAGTTGACCTCCATGGCTAAACCATATATGAAGCTTCTAATGGGTTTTGGGTGGTTGGTGTGAGGGGGGGGGATCAACAGTCTAACATTGTGACCAGACCTTGTTGAAGTAATCATGGTATGGACTCAAAAAGAGCCATTGAAGGTGCATTATTTCATATCTAATTATTCCATTTTTGACCACCGTCCTTCCAACCCCAATAATTTTGGTAAACCAGAGAAACACATGCAGGTAGCCTAACAATGTGGAAGCGGAATTAGTTGTTGGGACGAATTGTAAATTTCAATATCTTCGGTTCGACTCTTATTGATGATTTTTGATTTTATTCGATACTTGTTAATTTACAGGTGATTGTAGATATTTTGAGTTTAATTTGTAGAAAAATGTCTAATGTGACCTTACGTTGGAGAGGTTCTTCCTCATTTGAAGAGAAAAAAAAGACTTGGGGATGGAGGATCAATCCTAAGTGAGTTGGTTGATAGCCCTGGAGATGTGTTTGGAGCATTTTTGTATAGTCCCTGAAACCATGTCGGGTGAGAAACCAGATAGTANTTATATATGTTTATGATTTTCAAACTTTTTATTGATACTGTAATTTCTAATTCTTTTTGTAATTTACTACTTTTTACATAATATTGCAATCTAAATCGTCATTTTTTTAATTTAAAATCTTGTTTGTAAGACACATTTTTCATAGAAAATCTCGAAAGCATAATTTATAACACAATTGTTGAAAAGTGAGATTTTAAACCACACTTTTATACAAACAATGAGAAATAAATAAGTTTTCAACCATAATTTAAAGGCAATAAAGCTTAAAAACCACAATAGGATAGTGAAAAATCAAAATTAACCATGAAAAACTGTCATTCGAGCTACCTTGGCGGGTTTTAATTTACAATTTTTGCATTACCCCTATTTCAATTCTTTTAAATTGCTAAATCAACCAACATACCCTCATAATCCAGAGGGTAATCTGGTGATTTTGAAGATGGAAAATATTTGATGTTTGGCTTCTTAAACATAAGGGGCACACATGTGAATGGGATCTTAGTTTTGAAAAGAGACTCCTAATATAAAAATAATATAACTTCAGTTTGTAAATGGAAGTACAAGAAGGATACTACCTTTCAATGAGGAAAAAAAATCAAGGACTTGAAGACAAAATCATTAGCAAGCACTAGGAAAAGAAATTGTTCTGGCCAACCTCCAAATTTTCCGAGGGAAGAAAATAGTTGGAGTTGACCTCCATGGCTAAACCATATATGAAGCTTCTAATGGGTTTTGGGTGGTTGGTGTGAGGGGGGGGGATCAACAGTCTAACATTGTGACCAGACCTTGTTGAAGTAATCATGGTATGGACTCAAAAAGAGCCATTGAAGGTGCATTATTTCATATCTAATTATTCCATTTTTGACCACCGTCCTTCCAACCCCAATAATTTTGGTAAACCAGAGAAACACATGCAGGTAGCCTAACAATGTGGAAGCGGAATTAGTTGTTGGGACGAATTGTAAATTTCAATATCTTCGGTTCGACTCTTATTGATGATTTTTGATTTTATTCGATACTTGTTAATTTACAGGTGATTGTAGATATTTTGAGTTTAATTTGTAGAAAAATGTCTAATGTGACCTTACGTTGGAGAGGTTCTTCCTCATTTGAAGAGAAAAAAAAGACTTGGGGATGGAGGATCAATCCTAAGTGAGTTGGTTGATAGCCCTGGAGATGTGTTTGGAGCATTTTTGTATAGTCCCTGAAACCATGTCGGGTGAGAAACCAGATAGTACCTATTGGACTTGGGACGCACACACGGTATAAATTCCATTCCAATTTTTTTTTTTCTGCTAAAAAAACATCAACTCAACTAATTGCATAATTAAAAAAAAAGGAAAATTAATTATTATTTAAAATATAAATATTTCACGATGAATACTTGATTTTGGTTTTACATAATGTCTTCAAGCGCAGGGTTATTCTTAGTCTCCCTATATTTTATACACCTGATATCCTATGATTTTGGATTGAACTGAAATTGTTAAGAATTCCGTGACAATTAGCGGTTAAGGGTCAAAAGTAAATAAAATAAATTGTATATTCTTATACGTATTATATATTTGTATTTTTCTCTCAAAAATATATTAATTTGTGACTCACTTCTCCCTTCCAACATGTAAAAATCTTAGATAGAAAAAAACTGAAATTTTAAAAACAATGAAGGTTATTATTATGGTTTTGTACTCAATTGCTAATTCCGTTAATTATTTCATTTTATAATCAAAAAACAGAAAGATTATGGGCAGGTTTTTAAAGTATAATAAAGTTACCCAAAAGGAATGATAAGGAGATAAAATGTAATTTACCCAAAAGGAATGCAGGAATGATGGGTTAGGTGCTTGCTGACAAATGCATGGAGCTTTATGGAAAGTGTAGTATGGTTATCTATATATCTCGTAATAAAGAGGTAAGCCTCACCTTCTCTAAACCAGCCATGTGCTTCAAGTGGTTTGCTTTTCCGTTAAACTCGAATTAAAAAAAAAAAAAAAAAAAGTCAGCGCACGAGACTCTGGTCACTACGTTCAAAACGTTCTATTCTCACATGTCAAGAGACTATTTTCGAAATTTTAAAATCTTAACGTTCAGGTCATAATAGAACAACGTTACCACTATGACAAAACTTGCATTTTAAAACTCCCCACAAAACTCACATTTCTTATACAATTAGATTATTATTATTATTGCTAGTTAAAAAAGGGGTGGAGGTAAAGGAGAGTGTCCAATGACCACCCCAATTGGCCCTCATTGGTAAAATCATGAGGCTCTTGATCGCGTCTGTTACTTCTTTCGGGAACGAACCTAGTTAAGTTAACATAGCGATCAACCACCGAACCTCAATGTGGACTCCAATACTCGAACCTCCAACCTCAGGGTGAAAAGTTCAATCGATATCCTAATAGACAATAAGA